GAGGGGGTTGATTTTAGGCAAAGTGCTGTTTATTTCCTCATCTACCAAAGGGGAATTATAATCTACCGTGTGGTCACTGAGATTGAATGAGATCACAGGTGCGAGTCATTTAGAACAATGGCTAGCACAAGGAAGGTACTTTCTAAATGCTTGCTTTTGTGTCACGTGACTTGAAACCATTTTTTTGAAAAACAGAATTCCGGATAGACTTGTCTTTTAGTAAATTAATTTGCATTTGGGTTGGATCTAGATGATTAGATCTATAAAAATGTTATCCAGAAGGGGCTCTGAGTTGCTCATTTGAATAAACTGGTGTTGAATTAATGAGATTTACTCTGTGGGTATAAAGAGTGCTATGCAGCATGTTTCCAATCTTCAAAACTCTAAATATAGTGCGTTCAATACAAAATCACACTAGACAATGTTTCTTGCAGCTGTAAGGGATCTGCAGGGGCTCTCAGGCCTTCCCGTATGAGACAGGCGGTTGGACTGGTCCACACAGATAGCCTTTAGAGACAGGGAAACTGCACAAATCAGTCTGCTATAAGCATGTTCATTCCACTACCTGTTCTGTTTTCCATTTGCCGCTGTGTAACTGGCAGCTCCAGACAGTACCTGCCCTCAGCTGCTGGGAGCCTGAACTGGCTGGAGAGCTGGAACAATCAGAGGTAGCCTGAGGTCAGAATGGAAGGCTAACCTGGCTAAGTTGTTCACTGGGAGAACCCCAGCCTAGTCTCTCAAAGCCCAGGCTTCCAACTCCAGCACATCAAAAAAGAGAGAGAAAGCGCCAACCTAACAGATACAAGTAGTAGGTGCTCAATAAAGGTTAGTTCTGTACCTTCCTTTTCAATATTTCCTTGCATGTCTAACATCATCCCCATGGATGGTTTTGGAAACGAACTGAAACCCCTTCCTATTTTCTCAAAGGGGACAGGCCAAGGGAGATCGGGTAACAATTATGTGTCCGTGGTTTCCACAACTATTTTTAATCTCAAGTTATTCTCTTGTTATGCATTCATTGTCCTTGCTATTTTTCCCTAGGATTTCTGCTACACTTTGATGTACCTCTGTGCAAAGCAGAAAAAGGCTCCTCCCCAAATGGCACCTTTTGTGGTCTGACAAATTTTAAAAAGGGAACCACTGGGGATCTGAGCCCTCATTTGCCCCGCTGGCTGGATCCCTTCGTGCAATACACAGGACATGGCCTCTACAGCAGCCTGCGGCATCCAGTACCCATGAAGGCAGAAGCCAGGGAGGAAGGCTAGGGGCTGCTGGAGAGACAGCAACCTCTGCAGAAGGCAGGGCCCACTGCTATCTCTGTAGCGGCCCTGGGAGGCTGAGGAAGGTCTCAGGCCCCACTCTCCTGCTCGCCTCCTTGACGGCCACCACTGTCTGGCTCTGCCATGTTTGGCTGGGAAACAGAGACTCCTTATTTTCCTCCAAAGAATCTTCCATAGACCTTTGGACTCTTTCATCTACATCCCGAGGTGGTATGAGGTTGAGGTCTAAGAATCACTGGGTAGTGACTCAGGGCTTCTGGAGGGATCATTTTTCCCAGCAACTGCTGCGCTTACCTTTGGTTAAGTCCAGTGGCTTTGCCTGTGGGATATACGACACTCTTGACATAGGCCAACAACCCCAGCAAACTCTCAGAATCCAATTAGTAAATAAAGTCCATTGTAATGAAAAGAAAAGCCACTACCCTTGCTATTTACCCCTGACACTGAAATAGTAAATGACACTGTGGGAACACTGAAGCATATCCTGAGTAGACCATCAGCAAAAGGCGAGATTGCCTCTTCTGGGACTCCTCTGTCCTCTGAGATTGGAATTTGGGGAGGATGCATTCGGAAATGATTTTTTTCTCAGTAATGACAACATTCAGTACCACATAAGAAATGAAATTGAAGCATTGATCTTATTCTTCAAATATAAGATAGCTTCAATATTAAAATTAACATATAAATTTAGCATCCATCTTACTTTCGACTCACTTCTGCTGAGTAAATGCACATATAAGAAATGAATCACTGAAACAGTATGCAGTGGAATCAAGTTCGTTTTTCAAATATGTCACTTCAAATGCAGCCAGGCCTGTTTTCTGGGCACCCGACAAATGTTCTCGTGATGCCCCCCTCCCACCATCTCTGGCCCAGTCCACTCACAGGACAAACTGGGAACCTTGGAAGTGGCACCCTTAGAGAGCTCCCTCCATACCTGACTGCTATACCTCTCACCCCCTTCTCTAGATCTACCTCTTCTCAGAAATTTAAAATGATCTTTGGCTCTTGGAAGCCTGTTGATTGACTTAACAGCCTGGATCGTTGGTCCAAAATCACTGACCTTTTTCTCTGGCACCTGCTCCTCCACTGCTTTAGTAATTTGAACCACAGCCATTTACCTCACATACAACCTTGGCTCTCAGTTCATCTATGAAATTAATTTCCCCCACCATCAAGAGTGTGGGTACTTCTTAAGTCTCAAAGCCGCAGTGCAAAATTTCTTTCCAGAGTTACCAGTTAACAGAGAATAATGAAACTAGAAGGATCCATAGCACCAAAAAGCCTAGCTCTCTCCTTGGGGAAAGAGTAGCACATTTATGAGGCTATCTGGTCCCTCCCAATAAGAAGTTTCTAGAAACCAGTATTTCTGACCCCAAACATGTATTCGACCTAATAGTAGATACTAATGCTGAAGCTATTTGAAACAGGTCTAGGGTATGTGCCAAGACTGCTTACAACATGGAAATACCTCGCCAAAGAAAAGGAAAAGGGCATGGGGGTGTGATTTAGAAATCTCAGCATGGGACTTTATTTATATCCCTCAGTTCGTCTACCTGGTACAGAACTGAGAAGAAAACCAGAGCCATAATGAGGAAGGAAATCATGCTCTAATTTCAGTGAGTTTATAAATTGCCTAAAAGGATGATAAAAATGTGCTGCATAGGCTACCATGGATTTGAACACAACAAAGGGAGCCCAGGAATCCACACTACAAACTTAGCAACTGGATACCTGAACTATGCTGAGACAGAACAATCTAGAACTCAACTAACCCACCCCACATGCACAAGAAGCATTTGCACAAAGACTAGGAGCTGGAGGGGCCTCACCAGCAGGGAAGACACATGTTGTACTTTAATGTGAATTAACTTCCCATCAGACCAGACTGACTTGCAGTTTAAACATCACCCGATGAACACTGACTGGAAGTGTACAGCCAAGCACACGGATGCCGTGTGTGTTGGACGGAACTGAACTGGAGTTCAGTGGTTTTGTTCAGTGTGGATGCAGATACTCAGTGTCATGCAAAGGAGAAAATGAGTGCCCGTGGGTAGGTGAGCATTCCTGTTCTCTGGAAATCTACATGCTGGACCAGGCTGGTCTTTAAGAGCTGAGTTAGAATTAAGAGGTTTTGTCACTTTTCTAAGAGGGTCTCAGCTATCAAGATTGCAAAGAAGCACAACTGGAGGCAGGACATGGGCTCTTAACAGCGCTTAACATTTCTCACTCTGACCTCTGAGCTCTTATCCTACCAAAGCAGCATTTCTTCCTTCAGAAGATATTGAGGACGGAACATACTTGCACTAGCCCATGAATTAACTGGCTTACAGATAATCCCATTTTTCCGGCTGCCATAAAAAGAAGTAGGTGCCAGTGATGATCTGCAGGTGAAGTTCAGGTGTAAGAACACCCAGCAGCCAAGCTGTGTCCAATCTGGGTCATTCATCCTAGAGAAGTCATATCTAGAAGCAGACTTCATAGTTTGAATCATGTGGCATTTTATCATTGCTGTCCGCTACATAAATGTGGATAAACTCTGGAGATGAAAATACCTTTCAAAATACATTTGTCTAGGTAGGCCCACATATTAGCATGTCACGGCCGCCATAAAATGTCCTGATGTGTGTCTTTAAATCAGGGGCAAATTCTCCTCTCATTTCTTTCTTACATAAACATTAAAGTCTGCATATAACCTCAACAACTGTATTTAAACATTCTTGGAATAGAAGTATGTCAATAAAAAGTTCTTACATTAGTACAACTAAGGTAAGGAATTTCCCCCCCTCAGAAATTTCCCATTCCAGAAATGCCCATGTAGACAAGCAGAAAGGTTGGTTTGTTTTGTATAAGACCCCTTTGTCCTGGCACCCATTCTGGGCTGGGAGCGTCTCACACTGAGTGCACTCAGAGCCCTTCAAGACCTGTTCTTACATTGGGAGCTCTCCGTACCCTTGTCCTGGAGGGGCTTTTATTCACTTGCTTATTTACTTTCCCTTCCATGTTCACACCGGTTGTCTGACCGAAGCAGTCACCATATCTTTCAAGCACTTTGGAGGAATGGAAGCAGCAAGTCAGAGAAGGGGTTGGTGTGGGCACCACTGAATATTACTGCTTGGAAATTCTCTCTAAAAAGAACCGAATGAAAAGATTGCCACACTTGGCACCCTCAAAGGACTTTGACAAGAAAGGGGGAAAGACCTCAACTTTCTACCTGAAATGAGCGTGGCATCTTCTCTGGGTGAGAACGAGGAAATGCTCCTCTCTATTACACCGGATGCAAAGTTGCTGAAAGCAATAGGTTTGTATTGAGTACTTTCCACGTCGGGTTCTGTGCTAAGCATATGACTTCCTTCCTACACTCAACTATACACTGTAGCTTTTCATTTTTACTCTTTTTAGTGGGATTCTCCATTGTAATCTCCACCTCTCTTGGACTCATGGGTAACCTGAGCAATACTACAGATTACACCCTCTAATACCTGGGAGGCACTCTAAGTATCTATGGAAGAAACAAATGGATGAGTGAGGGAAACTAACTATTCTTGAACAATGTTCACTCTTCTGACTGCAGCCCTAAAACTGTGCCATTTGTATTTCTTAAGAAATGTCTCATTTAACTATTCTCTTTGTTCCTGACCCATGCAATAGTAAGTAGTTTCACATCAAGTTTCTATTTTTAAAGTCTCTTTTTATGAGCAGAAATGACATAAACCAAGATCATCTCCTTAGTTTATTTTTTCTAGAGTCCTTAGCATGCTACATTAACCTGACAAGCTTAATCTTGTGTTCATTTCACAATACATTTCATGCAGTTCACAGCTGTGAGTGGTTTTACATTGACATTACATGTGTTTCAATTCAGCCATGAGGAAAGAATAATTCTTAATGGAGTTTGTCTCTGAAAACTGTCCAAGCCTGAGCAGTTCACTCTATTCTGAAGTTCTGAAGTGCAGGCTCTCTTTAAAATGAAAGAAGGATTTTTTTTTTAAGCGTAAGAATATAATGTCCCTGTTTATAGTCCATTTGCCACCAAACCACTTCCTTTAGGTTTCCCATATCCTGAGGAATCCCCTTTTACAAAACTGCATTCAAGTATACTATTTATTTAACATTCCAGGTTGAGTTTAGGAGCAAGGCTGACCTCCAGCTTTACATCCCCAAATAAATCTCCCATGGACCAGCCTTCCCAAGACTATTCTTAGCATTAGACTCTCTTTTACAATAAACATTCAGCACTAAAGCCACAGAGCAGAGCTATTTGGCATTTTCCAGTGAAGTGCAAGAAATTAAATAAGTTATGTTTTATTGCTAATGTATAGAATATCAAGCACAGTCACAGAAGGAAAGGGATACACTAGATGTGGCCTCTCCTGGGGTACCCCAGGGTTCAAAAGCACAGAAGTGTCACCTGGTCACCTCCCATCCAGTTCCACTTTAAGAGGATGTGTTGAGTATTCTAGAGTCCGAAGAGTCAGACCTCTCGTCATAGTCATCCTCCGTGTAAATGGATTGCTTTGTCACAATTGGACACCCATCCTCAGGGATGGAGATCCGAGGGTCCTCCGTGGCTCGAGTAGGGAGGACAGGTGAGCTTCTGAAGACACTGGTGGAGTTACCGGGGAAGGGACTGACATACTGGGACCTCAGCTGGTACTGCTGCTGCAGGGTCATGGTGTTCCACAGGGTGACATCATTGGGCAAAAAGGGGCTGGACTGGTTTCTCGCCAAAGTATTCCTCAGCATCAGTGGATACCGGGGCGGCTGGGGGAAAGGGTGCTGCAGAGGCACAGCCAAGGGATTGGGGACAACATTAGTGGAGTCCGCAGAAAACCTCAGCGTGTCTGGGACTCGGAAGGCTGAGCCCACAGACCACTTGGACGAGGAGATGGGGTAGGAGCTCAAGGTGTGTTCGAAGATGTGCCCGTTGGAGGGCAGCACGAGGCTCTCAGCTTCTGCAGAAGTTCGCTCAGCTCCGCTCACGGAGGACCGGCTGGACAGAAGGACCTCCACGGCGCTCACCAGGTCCCCGCCGCAGCCCTTCAGGATGAGCTCGAGCACCGTGGGCTTCTGGTTGGGGAAGATTTTTTTTAACACTTCAAGGGGTGGTCTATTGGCTTTCAAGCTGAAGGGCAGAGAGACGGTTCCAGATGGGCCCTCGATCAGGAGGTGATTCTGCTCGGCGTGGTACTTGGGGCTCTCCGGACGGCTCTCAGGGTTGCCTCCATTTTTCTGGGCAACATACCCACCTTCATCCACAGACACTATTTCAGGACTTTCGGGAGTGAAGCAGCTCTTACTTTTGGCCACATCTGGGGAGCTCCTCTGGTCGGCATCTTTGTCGCTGAAGGCCTCTATATTGTCTGCTGAGCTGCCATCCCCAAGTCGTTCTTCAGTTAAATCTGAAAAGGAGAGAACAGCTGGGTTAATCTTTTCTTGGTGTGCATAAAGAGGAACAGATGCGCTCAGAAGAAAACTGTACACAAGCTTCTTGGGAGAGGAACTGCATCTCAGTGGGTTATCACATACTGCGGGCCTGAAAAACAGAAATCCCAACTACGTCCTTGGCAAATGGCAAAAAATAAATAAATAAATAAAATCCTTGTAAATTAAGATCTTAGAAATCTGAGTGGTTTCTCAGAATGCTACAAGTAAGGATGTTTGCCTTAAGCACAGAAAGGCTACAACTGTATAGCCACAGAAGACCTGGCTTTGACAGCAGTAACAATCACCCCACAGCACCAACACAGGGCACCTCTGCAAGGCTCCCCAGAAAAAATACAGCCCAAGGAAAAATGGGGAGATGAGCTCTGGCTTGTCTATCAGCTTCTCTTCTGTCGATCTTGCAGATCAACAACATCATCAGCTCGTGCGCAACGCACATACCCACAGGAAATTTTAGTACTCGAAATGTGCTTTTCCCATGGGCTAATTTTGTGTTAAGTATGTCTCGTGAACCAGACTATGTTTCATCAGGTTGCTATGGACAATAACTAATTAATGTAATCGCCACAGTGAAAGCCAGTTGAAATCTTTCATAAAAAGTCACTCGGGGCCTGCAAAACTCAGTTGCCTGTGACTGGCACTAGAGGGCAAGCAGAATCAGCTGTGAGCTGTGGACGGCAGGACAGGGTGCTGCTGAGGGGAAAGGGGATGGGTGCAAGGGTTTGTAAAACCACCCAGAAAGTACTGCCTGTCAAGATGAGGCATCCGCAGCCGAGGGCCGAGAATGGCAAGACACAGACATGCTTACATGAACTGTTGGTAAAGTTCATGGACAGGCCTTAAAGATTGCTTTCTGAATTACATTAAAAGAAGAAAAAGCTTCCCAAATAAAGCTGACACCAGCTATGAAACACACAGTTTTAAAATTTCACATGTTGACATAGAAGTACCACTGAAAAGACTGGTATTGCGATGCTGAGCAGGCAGGAAGGAGTGGGTGAGAGTGGTCTAGTTTAGGTAGTAAATTCTAACAGAGCTTTGTAATGGGACATGCTTTTTACTAGTAAGCTATATGCAAAAAGATTTTTATCCGTTTTTAAAAAAAGTATTAGTTATAACACCTCAATCCATGCATTCGTCATGACCCAGTCGCTCGCCAGGTTATAAACAATCGGTTTGCCTGTGTTCTCTACTGCCCTGCCTGAATAGTGCCATTGTCACCTTCTCTGTGGACACCTGATTATGTGCAGAGAGCCAGCCAGCACCATGTCATCAAAGCAAGGCTCGAAACCATCTCCTCGTGTGTGTTATTGTTTACTTTAACAGCCTTCAACAAAGGCGCATTTAGGACCATTCTTCTAATACGACAGATACCTTAGGTACAGCTGAAAAGTAAAACTTTTGTTCCTCACAATGCAATGCCTATGTGCCCAACACAAGGAAATATGTTACAGGATATTCTACAATTATATCACTGTAACTTTCCATCACATGTCTGACATAAATTGATACTTATCCCAAATTTGCACTTCAATCAATCTGCCTCTTTTTTCAATACAAAATATAAGGTTTCCACCATGAGGTTCATTTGCAGTTCACATATATAAAGCTATCTTTGCTTTTCATAACAACTTTGGGATAAAGGCCTATTTCTGTAAGAGAAACTCAACAAAGCCTCCCTTACAACTTCCTAGGACAGGAGACCCAGCTTTCACTCCCCACTTATTGTAGTATTTGAACTCATTTTTGATCCAAAAGACAAAAGCAACAACAAGAAACTTCTATCGGTTCACACTGAATCAGACAGACCTATTGAAATTTTCCTCACCTATGGCCCCACACCTACATCATGGCTGTTACTCGTATTATTACCAAATCGGAGATGAGCAGGCAGTGATAGTATGGTAACAAGAAAATGAAGGGGCTGGGGATTTAGCTCAGCGGCAAAAAGCACCTGCCTGGCAAGTGCAAGGTCGTGAGTTCGGTTCCCGGTACCGGAGAAAAACAAAAACAACAAAAAAAAAGATGTAAGGAAATGAAATAAGCATACAAATGGATGTTGGCCCCCACTAATAGAGTTTGGGAAAAACAGCTCAAATACTCTCTCCATGTAAATAAGTACATAACATAATGTTCCAAGTACTACATACCTCAAAACACTTTTTATATTTCTTTAGCTTACTTTGTCATTATCATCATTAAGTATTTCTATCCCTATAATATGCAAGACACTGACAGAAACAGAATAAACAGTGGAAAATATCCGGAAGTATGCTAGTACATGGAATGCATTATCTTTTTGGGAAAATAAGATGCATGTGCAAGGGTAAAAGCAAACACAGCCAGGTAGGATGTGCTAAGCATCAAATGTGACACACACTGTACACCAATATTCTAGCAGCATTATTCACAATTGCCAAAATGTGGAAGCAACCCAAGTGTCCATAAACATATGAATGAATAAATAAAATGTGGCATATACATACAATGGAATGTCATTCGGCCTCAAAAAGGAATGAAATTTTGATACATGTGACAATGTGGATAAGCTTTGAAAATGTTAGCTGTAAGTTGGGCACAAAAAGACAAACAGTATGATTCCACTTATATAGCTTCAAGAATGGATGAATTCATAGAGACAGAAAGAATGGTCGTTAGGGGGAGATGGCGTGTTACCGTTTAATAAACACCGAGTTTCAGCTTAAGATGATGAATAATTATGGGGATGGATAGTGCGTCGGTTGTATGACACTGCAAAGGTACTTACTGCTCAATTCTCGGTGCTAAAATGGTGAGTTTTTAATCTACAATCCAAAAATAACATGACAGTGTCACACAAATGTAGGAGTCAATAAGATTTTTTTAAGCAAGAGAAATGATTGATGCTTCAGCATCAATCGGCACAGCTAGAAATCTCAAAACTCAACTATTATCAAAATAAATATATGAACCTAAAGATAGCTTTGTGGGTGACCTCTCCTTCTCAGCCTCCACAAACAAACAAGTAAGTATGTAAATAAATATAGCTTTATGTTATAGAAAGGTAAATTTTCAAACACTAGAAACATTTTGCGAAATATATTGAGGTCTATCTACCAAGTTCACAATTCCCAGGCTGTCGGAGTTTCAAAATGGAGGCAAGCAGGACTGGCCTCTGATCTTGTACCACAGCCTTCAGAAGAAAGTGGCCCACAGAGAGGTTTGTGAGGAGAATCAGGGAATGATGTTCTGACTAATCTATTCACATGATAAGGACCTATTTTTCTCAAGGTGGCAACAGAAATACTGCCCCAATGGACGATACAGGATGACAGGATTGTAGGTCAGAATACAAAGCTCCATTTTTGTACCCATTTTCCTAAGTTCTGAAGAACAGACCTCAGTGGGCTCTTACGTGGCTGCCAGCTTGTTCAGCAACTGTGAGCACCCAGAGACAAATGCCCTTTTCCCACTTGTTGCGCTACCGTCTTCCCCTGCTACTGGGACATGGCAGGGTCCCACAGACTTCTGCTTATTTCTTCAGAGTGCTGAGGGATTGTGCTGAGGTATCTGCACTTTCCATGTTTTTTTGGACTGTTGGCCTCACAATCTAGGTGCTCAGGATATGGCTCAAAAGTGAGAAAAGCTAACAGAACGCCAGGAATCGCGAATTCAAGGCATTCCAACCAACTGAGCTCAGCACTCTGTTTATGCAGTCTTCAAAGGGAAGAGAGAAGACGATGAAAGAAGCAAGGGGCAGGGTTCGCGCACCTGCGCAGCGCACAAAGTCCTGCTCGGAGGTGCAGAGTGAGCAGAAGCCCCATCAACATCCAAGGCTGCTGGGGTTCAAAATGCGGCAAAGGAAGCCTGGCCTCTGAAGGGGCACCAGGGCTAACTCCTCAACAGCAGTAACTTCGGAAGGACACAATGTACAGTCCCTGCAATTCTGTGGCACTGCGGTAGTCAGCCTGGGTTGTATTATTGTACCTAAGCCAGCTGTACTGTAAGTTATTCTGTTATAAATACAGACTTTCACAAATAATTATAGAGGGTGAGTTTTGAGCTCAGTGATAAAAGTGTAATTTAATAACAGGTGTTTCTTTACATCTCCAGGTTTCTTCCTAAATGAACTTTACAAATCATTCAAGGTTTAAAACACAAAGGCCTTTCTGGATATAGAAATGTGAGACTGCCAACTAACAATACGAAACAGGAAACACTCCTGGAACACTTTACCCTCTTTCTTCTTGAAACTGAGACCCTCATTCCTAGAACGTAAGGAGTAATAGTATATTTCAACTGATAATTTTTAAGTCTACTATATGAGCACATGAAGTCAAAACTAAGAAATCACTCTTTTCTGATATTACAAACCAGTGGTTGAAAGTGATCGAGTGTGCTATTTCTAATGCAAAACATCTAAATATGTTTTAAATCTTACTCCATGCTCCAATTTCATGTTTCATGATACAGAGAAACTTATGGCCGTCACTGAAATAAACTTTTCAGTAGTGTAAAGGTTTTAAAAGAGGCAGATATTCAATTAAAAAGGAAATTTTTTATATAAATAACAATGCTACCAACTTCAAATGATATACCATAAGAAAATTCCAAGACTGCTTTTTGTTTTTGTTTTCACTGTAAAACTTTTTAACTAAGGAGAGAAGCTGGGTGTGGTGGTGCACGCTTGTAATCCCAGCACTCGGGAGGCTGAGGCAGGAGGATCCTTCCAAGTTTGAGACCAGTTTGGGCTCTAAAGTGAGCTCAAGGCCAGCCTGAACTGCATGGCAAGACCCTGTCTCAAAAAGACATTAAAAAAAAAAAACTAAGGAGAGAAAATTAACACTCACAAACAAGTGACTGCCTACCCATATTTATAACACCAAGATTAAAATTAACACTCACAAACAAGTGACTGCCTACCCATATTTATAACTTTCTTTAGATTTTTTTAATATAAAAATGCAGTTCAGTAAAA